CAATATCACATACAACTACTTCGGGCACACCCAAGAGATACAAAATAAGTGAAGTGTGTAACAAATTAATGACCCAACACTAAGGACTCGAAATGAATCAAGACATCCGAATACAAAGAGAACATAACTTTGTATACATGTGTCTTGATCCCTCTTACAATGCAATCCAAGTTAGGCGAAAGGTCTTCAAAAATCTTCCTATTACGTGTTAACCAAATGTAATAGACGATACTTGCGAGCGCAATCCTCTTTGCCTTGCTTTGCCATGATGTCCCACAAGCTTCTTTTTTCAACCACTTAAGAACGCTAGCAATTGTTGACATAGATCTTTTGATGGCGAGCACTATCTAATATTCTCCCACAAGGACGAAGTGAAAGAACATTCAAATAATAGGTGACATCCCATTTCCGCCATATGGCCACAAAAAAACACAATTATGATCAATATCCAAAAAATGCAATTTGTCTTTCGTCAAGAGTTTAGATTGAACCCCTAACCAAAGCAAAAAAGAGTGCTTCGGAGTAATGCAAGATTTCCAAACATCATCTGCCTAGACCTTCCTTGAACCTTTCGGCCTGAAGAAGTGATAGGCAGATTTTGGGCTGAATTTTTCACCTATCGACCAGCCTCTAAATCTATCTAGATTTTCCTATTTTCGGTCCCTTTCTTGTGCAGCCACAGCCCGCTGTATTGAGGTAATTCTTGCAGCCACAAACAGATTTATTTCTCTCTCCCTGATAGAATGAATAGCCTGTCGATAAGAAAAAACCTGGGGGCCAACAACATTTTCCAACAATATATCTCTGATTTCCAATAGTTTTTTGAAGAGTAGAAAGTGATTTTTTCTAGGAAGAACATTCCAAATACAAGTCCCTTTAAGATAAACTTGATGCACCCAACGCATCTATAGCGTGTCCTTTTTATATTGAATATTCCAAAGAGATTTAGCAAGTAAAGATAAATTCCAACTCTTCATGTCTTTCAACCCAAGACCCCCTTCCTCTTTTGGTAAGCAAACATCTTTCCAAGCAACCAAAGGTTTTCTGGATCCCCAAATAAATTTTCGGCAAAGACTACTAATTCTCGAATTAATTGTAGCCAGGATAGAAAAAATAGAATGCCAAAAGCATTCCACGCCTTGAAGCACCGACCTAACAAGTTCCACTTTACCCGCATAAGATAAAGGTGAGCAATTCCAAGCTCGAATATAAGCTGCAATTTTATCAAGGAATGGAGCATAACAACTCACTTTGAGCTTCTCTGAAGCAAGAGGAATACCCAAGTAACGGAAAGGCATAGTACCTTTTGGGAAATTGATGAGTTCAATGATATTATCAAGCTCATGCCCATAAATCCCAGCTGTATATAAGCTGGATTTTAAAGTTTTGATCTTCAAACCCGATGTAAAATAAAAGTTCGCAAGGCAATTCATAAGAATTTGCACCGACATGAAATCTCCCCTTGCAAAGAGCATCAAGTCATCCGCAAAAGTCAAATGAGTTATCTTTAAGGGACCACGTTTAGGGTGATAATTGAATTCACTATCATTTGTAGCATCCTTGATCATTCTAGAAAAATATTCAAGACAAAGCACGAATAAAAAGGGGCATAGCGGATCCCTTGCCGAAGACCTTTTCCACCTTTAAAGAAACCATGAATACTCTCATTCAAAGCTATGAAATATGTTGGAGAGGTAACACATTCCATAACCCATTGTGATATGATCCGGGATAGGCGTCGAACTACCAAAGATTTATTGAATGTTAGCGAGCGGTTGAGACCAAGGTTGGAGCGTATTTGGAGGCTAAAAAAGATTGATAAAGATGGAAAATCTCATGATCAAGCTTTGGAATTCAAAATGTGGGAATTAACATGCAATGTAACAAGTTTTATGATTGGCAGGAAGAGACTAAGTGCAAAGTCAGGTTTGATCACAGCCAATAAAATCATGCAATCAAGCGTCAAGGTTACAGGGCTGTAAATGATGATGTTTGCAAGTTTAAGGTCGAGTTACATGTTGGTCATAAAGGCAAAATCACGTTCGATGCATTAGATTCAAAGTTTTGGACGATATATGAAAAAACGAGTAGCGTGGATTGAAATAGGCATAACTTTTAGCTCGAGTGTCGGATTTTTGCCCATGAGTGCAATCTGAAATCGTTACGAATTTTGCACGAGGAGGAGGATGTTTCAAAAATTAAACTATGCGACCGCATAGGATATTCACGAGACAAAATTGAAGGCTGAAGAATGAACTATGTGACTGCATAGATATATACTATCCGATTGCATAGTATATTTTTCGAGACAAAATTTTCCTTTTTCACGAGAAGGTTTATTTTAGTTAAAACTCTTGTTTTTGGTAACTTTATTATTCTTAGGATTCTTGTGCTTGTTTTTACCATATCCTTAGGAGTATTTTTCAATTTTAATTAGGTTTTATAGTTTTAGTATAAATATGTTTTATTTCTTCAATTGGAAAGAGACTTTTATCATGAATTGAATGAAGATTTTCCTTTCAAAGCTTTTGCTTCAAAATACCGAACTTATCAAGATTTAATATCTTCTGGCGTTCAAACAAATCATCGAGTTAGATTCTTTGGGTTCTGTAATCAAAAGGTCCTTTACATTGTCATTATCGTTGGTTTGTTTGATTCATTAATTCTTTGGATCAAATTCACAAATCCAGAGGAGATTTCAAGATTATGTGATTAAGAGATCGTTTGTTTCATATACGTTCAGTTGCTTAGTTCACTTTTTCGGGTCGATTTCTAAACGTTGATCATTATTTGGGCATTTTCTAAAATTCATAAGGATCCTTATGTTGACGTGTTTAATGTAAGTAGTTGGGAGAGACAGGAGCCTAGGAGGGGAATTTGTGATGCATATTAAGTTGGTGGTGACATTGATGAGGTACAAGGATTGATGAATAAATATGATAGATTTGAAAGGAGGATATGGGAGATCGGCATGAATGGGAGTTTAGAGAGGGGCCTAGAAGTTGTAGTGGAGTTGATTATCAAATGGAAAAAAAAAAAAAAAACTTTTGTGTGAAGTGTGCAGGTAGTACATCAAGCAAAAAGGTTGGGTTGGATTATAAGCAAGAATTCTCCTAGATTCGTGAATTGTTAAATTTTCAAATTAATCACGTGAAGGAAAAGGAGAGTAGAGGAGACATTAGTGTGGTGATTGGTTGCGAGAAAAAAGGAGAAAAATCGCAAGAGGGTGAAAAGGGCAAAGTAGTTAAATTGGAAGTGAAGTTACGTGATGAAAAGGAGGAAAAGTCTTCGGAGGTGAAAAGGGAATCGGAAGTGAGCTTGCATGAAGAGGAGATTAAAATTGAGAAAGCGTTCACGATAACTAACAATTCCCTTCCTATGTTGAATAATTCTATTTTGCAGGTTACCGAAGATTTAATTCCAGAATATAATCCTATTGGAATACCACCTGACCCAAGAATTGAGCCTCGGTTTGGACATCAACTTGTGGATAAAAGTCAACAACAATGCCTTGCTTTGGAATTATCATATATACCAGAGATTGAATTTGTGACTCTCGAGGAGACAACGGAGTTTCAAATGCAATGGAAGGCATTTGTTTGCAAGGAGTTCATATGCCGTGGGTTGAAAGACAAAGTTGAATTGTTGGGAAAAATACATCCGTTTGAATTGACGTTACTATAGTTACCTAGGCCAGGTAAAGAAAGGAAAGAGCATAGAGGGTCACCAAGTGAAATCATTATTGGAGCATCATATACTTGCAAGAAGAAGCCATTGAAACATGTACGCTTTGATCATTGAGAAGGTGATTGGGTTTTTATATACAAGAGGTGGATGAGGATTCAAAAGTGATCCAAATTGCACCCTAGGGGTGACAGGCCATTTGATGTTCTTGCATTGATTGGAGACAAGGGTTACATCTTAGATCAGGATTCGAGGACAAATCTTTTCGAAGAGAGAGGGGATGATATGATTCGGGATAGGCCTCGAACTACCAAAGATTTATTGAATGTTGGCAAGCGATTGAGACCAATGTTGGAGCGTATTTGGAGGCCAAAAAGGGTTGATAAAGATGGCAAATCTCATGATCAAGTTTTGGAATTCAAAATGTGGGTATTGACGTGCAATGTAACAAGTTCGATGATTGACAAGAAGAGACTAAGTGCAAAGTCGGGTTTGATCACATCCAATAAAATCATGCAATCAAGCATCAAGGTTACGGGGCTACAAATGATGATGCTTGCAAGCTTAAGGTCGAGTCACATGTTGGTCATAAAGGAAAATCATGTTCGATGTATTGGATTCAAAGTTTTAGACGATATATGGAAAAACGAGTAGTGTGGATTAAAATGGGCATAACTTTTAGCTCAAGTGTCAGATTTTTGCCCATAAGTACAATCTAAAATCATTATGAAATTCTGCACAAGGAGGAAGATGTTTCAAAAATTAAACTATGCGACCGCATAGGATATTCTCGAGAAAAAATTGAAGGCTAAAGAATGAACTATCCGACTGTATGGATATACACTATGTGACCGTATAGTATATTTTTCGAGACAAAATTTTCCTTTTTCGTGAGAAAGTTTATTTTAGTAAAAACTCTTGTTTTTGGTAACTTTATTATTCTTAGGATTCTTGTGCACGATTTTCCCATATCCTTGGGTGTATTTTCCAATTTTAATTAGGTTTTATAGTTTTAGTATAAATATGTTTTATTTCTTCAATTGTAAAGAGACTTTTATCATAAATTGAATGGCGATTTTCCTCTCGAAGCTTTTGCTTCAAAATACCGAACTTATCAAGATTTAATATTTTGTGCCGTTCAAACAAATCATCGGGTTAGATTTTTTGGGTTGTGTAATCAAAAGGTCCTTCATATCGTCGTTATCATTAGGTTGTTTGATTCATTAATTCTTTGGGTCAAATCCACGAATCCGGAGGAGATTTCAAGATTATGTGATTAAGAGGTCGTTTGTTTCATATATGTTTAGTTGCTTAGTTCACTTTTGCGGGTCGATTCCTAAACCTTGATCATTATTTGGGCGTTCTTGAGATCCATTGTCAATTCCCGTGGGTTCGCTAGCAACCTTGCTAACCGAGTTTGCATCACATTGTATAAATCTCGAAGGAAAGTACAACCCTTCAAGTACACCTTTAAGAAAATCCAAACTTAACGAATCATAGGCTTTCCTAATATCAATTTTTAGGAGGCATCTTGGAGTAACCCTCTTTCTATTATACTGTCTCATAAGTTCTTGGGAAAGATGAATATTTTTCGTCATACTCCTACCTTCAATAAAAGCGACTCGTGCTTGATCCACAATGTCCCCTAAGATAGGCCTCAATCTAGAAGCAAGGATTTTAGTAATCACTTTATAGATAACATTACAACAAGATATCGGCATATAATCCCCAACACTAGGTGCTTGACTTGACTTTGGCACCAAAGCAATGACCGTATGGTTGATTTGTTTGAGGATAGATCCCGATGAAAAGAATTCCATGATAGCCTCTACAAAATCATGTTCAATATACCCCCATGCATTTTTGAAAAAACTTGAAGTGTAACCATCTAGTTAGAGAGATTTATCATCTCCAATCCCGAAGAGAGCTTCTTTGATCTCATCACTAGAATGTCCCGAATCAATGAGTTGCCTTGTTCCAAAGATACTAAAGGCCCCTTGCTAATAATGTCCATGTCAATCGACCGAACCGACTCTTTTTTTCCCAGTAAGGTATATAAATTGACAAATTCCAAAGCAACTTGGTCTAGTGAAGTAATATGCATCCCATCCTCCTTAAGAATGGTAGCAATAAAGTTTCTCCTTATGTTCCTTTTCACCACCGAGTGAAAGAATTTTGTACACTTATCACTTTGCTCGAGGAAAATGCACTTAGCTTGTTGATAATAAAAGCTTTGTTCCGCTTCACATAATCCCACGGCTTTCTTTCTCAATCTTGCCACCGTAAGTTGATAATGCTTATTCTTAGGTTGACATGGAGTATAAGTTGGGCAGCCTCCAATTCACTTTTAGCCTCATTAGCTCGAGTAGAAATGTGCCCAAAGTGCTTAACATTAAGCTCCTTCAATGCCCCCTTTAATTTGCACAACTTCTTACAAAGAATAAATTGCTTTGTTCCCACCACATTAAAATTCCAGGTTGCTCGGACAATATCATGGAAGTCCTCATGGTTTCTCCACATGTTAAAGAATATAATTGATTTTCTAGTATTCACCATACGATCACGAATGGACACAATGCATGGAGAATGGTCGAAAAGGCACCCGGATGGTAAAAAATCAGCAAAGACATACGCACCATTTTGTACCCAAATATCATTCACCATGGCCCTATCAATTTTGCTCTACATCGAATTATTAGTCCATGTATAAAGACCACCAATGGAGCACACATCCGTGAGACCAACATAAAGACAACAATTAGCAAAATCCTTAATTTCATAAGTATTTACTTCCGCCCCATTGCTTTTCTCTCCATCTCTACAAGTAAGAATAGAGGTTGTTGGGATCCAAGTATCTAATAGTGTAGCATTAAATGGGACTTTTAGGATTTATCTGCTCTAAATAAATAATTATACGCGTCGAGAGTTTTGGGAGGGATGCAGTCGGTTGGGTCGGTTAATTGCATGGCCATTTCTCTAGTTTCCTTTAAGTTCAATTTCTACCCTCCCTCCTTCTCCCTCTCTCGTTCTTCTTTTATTTCTTTCTTTTTTTTAACAGTTGTACCAGGTCATACAATTAGTACTGTCATTCCTTACACTTAATACAAACCATAATTGTATTATCAAATGTAAGAAGCACGAAAAACGAGTAGTTGTAAATTCATTAGCTATTCGTATATAATACGTATTCAAATTTGGGTACTATATGATAAATTCCGATAGATATCAAATATGTATTTTTGTAAAATAATTATTATTTTACATCTTAATATTGTGTAAATTTTCAATGGATATCGAATAGGAATTTTTTTAATTATTTTCAAATATATTAGGATAGGTAAAGAGAAGTTTTGTTGAGTTTAAATTCTATTAAAATTCATTATCATTGGCTATACATTGACAAAATATTTTTACTTAATAGATAAATATTTTTTATTTACAATAATTTATTGAATATAGATACTATTTATTGAAAATACACAGTTAAAGTTTTAATTTAATTGACAACTATTGTTTTGTAATAGTTGAAAAATATATTATATTACTAAAAACAAATATTAGTATTAAATATCTATTCAGAAGGACATGGTCCATTTGGATGGATTCCATCCAAAATTCCCGTAGATGTTGAGCGGTGAAGGTAATTATTCTTATTTTGGTTTTATTTGAAAGGAGGAAATTCGTCAAACTTAAGAAAAAATAAGTAAAAAATAATTTCAAAACTTTTCCCTTTAGATTTCTTAAATCGAAAATAAACTGAAAAATTAAAGGGGAAAATATTTTGAAAACAAATATGTTTTGTAAAATGAAAGTTTATTAGGGTTTAGAGGTGAATGACAATTATAACCCTGTAGGCCTAGAAATAATTACTGTTGTATCCCTAATTCTACCATATAAATACAGGGTTTTGGTTCATAATAAAATACACAAATCTATTTACTTCTCTCTGTTATCTTCTCTTCACTTATATAGCACGTTATCGGTACGATAGCTTAATTTTTCAAAATTTAGTGAAGGTAATAATTTTTATAGGCATGAATATTTATCACGTGTACCAAAATTAATTTGGTAGCATGTGAAATATTTCAATATACATATGCATCAAAACGAGATTACTTCTTCTTCTTTACTTTTCATCGGCATACATATTAATTCTAATTCACGTTTATATGTGTTATTTGAACATATATTAATTCACTTTTTTTATTCATACACGATCATTTTTCACATATTATTCAGTATTAATCATGTCTTTTGAATCTGTTACATATTAGTTCTATCTTTAATTTCTATATATGTGAAATACATATGCATGTTTGGTATCTTTTGCATGTTGGTGAAAAATTTAGCCAATAAGTGATTTAGTCAATTTTGTCAACTTCTATGTATGGAGATTCTTTTTCCTAATACATGTTTAGTAATCTATTTTAAAATCTAAATTCATATATTATCTATTTGGTAATTAATTTTTACATCATATACTGTTTGTATGGTAATTAAATATTCTTTTCATGTGCATGTTTGGAAGACTTTTTTTCTTTACTTATACATTTTTTTTGATTAATTCTTGTATGTAAATTCATACCATGTCTATATGGTAATTACATATTTTAGATGTTCTTATATAAACTTTAACTTAACAATTTATCATGTTGTTGCTCTTGAAGTAGCACAACATTATAATTAATATTTTAGAAGCATATTAATTTAAAATCTATGTATTATATATAGTTTGTTGATACTCTTGAAGTAGCACAATATTATAATTAATATTCTTGAAGAATATTATTTGCTCCTGAAGAGCATAAATTATAATTTTCAATATTCTAGAAGAATATTGACATATTACTCTTAAAGAAGTAATAGTAAAATACAATGTGCTCCTTAACTAACATATATTTCGAAGAACATAATATTTTATTGTTTATCTCTGAAAGAAAATACATAATTTATGTCATGATTAACTATTATGTGATGTTTAATTATATTCTTCGAAATTAATTGTATTTTTTCTTGCTTTATTTTGTAGTTATTCAAATGACAAACATAATAAAACTTGAGTTTACTGCACTTGACATCTCTGGCAAAAACTATTTATCGTGGGTACTTGACACCGACATTCATCTTATCTCAAAAGGTTTGGGAGAGACAATAAAAGAAGAAAACAAAGAATCCCAATAGGATCGTGGAAAAACACTCATCTTCCTTCGTCATCATCTTTACGATGGATTGAAAATTAAATATCTTACTCAAAAAAATATCCACAGGTTCTTTGGAAAAAATTAACTGAAAGATTTGATCATCAAATGACTATAGTCCTCCTCAAAACCCGCTATGAGTGAATGCACCTTCGTTTGCAAGACTTTGAAACTGTTAGTGAGTACAATTCTGAATTGTTCAGAATATGTTCAAAATTGACATTGTGTGGAGAAAAAATTACTGATGAAGAAATGTTGGAGAAATTTTTTTCACCTTTCACGCCTTGAATATGCTCTTGCAGCAGCAATATCGCGAGCTTGGTTTCAAAAAATACTCAGAACTTATATCGTGCCTGCTTGTTGATGAACAGAATAATGAACTGCTGATGAAAAATCATAGGTTACGTCCAATTGGTTCTGTACCATTGCCTGAAGTAAATGGAATATTAAAACAATGACGTGGACGTTGACGCGGACGTGCAAGCGAAGTAAACCATGGACGAAATAATTAACAAAGTTAGCAACAATTTCAAAAAGCACAAAACAAACGAAAACAACATATCTAGAAAGGTACATGAAGAAAATTGCTTTAGATGTGGAATGAAAGAGCATTGAACACGTACCTGTCGTACAGCAAAATACCTGTGGATCTCTATTAAAAATCAATCAAGGAAAAGGGAAAAGTGGAGACAAATTTTGCTGATTATGATCGTCCAATTAATGTGACTCATTTAGATGTCTCTGATTTCTTTACTGATCCAAATAGAAATATTGATCATTTGATTGAAGGTGGTATGATGGAAGATATAGATTAGTTTTTTTATGCTAGTATTTCTCTTTATTTTAGAAACTTAATTTGAACTATGTTTTACTTTTCGCAAAAATTTTGAACTTTATTATGTATCGTTAATTTCAAAGTATTAATTATGCTTATCATTTAAAATTTAAATTCAAGTTTTTTTAAAATATATCTATTTTATTATATTAATAGATTCATGATGAATTGTCAAGACACCTGTTTGATTGATAGTGCAACTACACATACTATTTTTCAAGACAAAAAATATTTCTTGGACTTAACATTGAAAGAAAATAATGTTAATACAATATCAGGTACATCAAATATCGTTGAAGGCTCTGGAAGAGGTTGTATTATTTTACTAAATAATACAAAATTATATATTAACGATGAACTTTATTCTAGCAAGTCCAGAAGAAATTTGCTTAATTTTAAAGATATCCGCTGCAATGGATATCATATTGAGACGACGCAAGAAAATAATGTCGAATATCTTTCCATAACTTATTTTGTATTTGATCGGAAGCAAATTTTATATACTCCTATATAGCATGTATTATACATTTATAAAAATGGTTGAATCAAATAATATCACGAACTAGAAGTTCGTTGACCCAAAAAGCTTTATTCTTTGGCATGATTGACTTGGACATCCAGGAGTTATAATGATGCGTCGAATAATAAATAATTCACATGGACATCCTTTAAAGAACCAGAAGACTATTTTACCTAATGATTATCCTTGTGTAGCTTGTTCGCAAGACAAATTAGTCATTAAACCTTCAACTACAAAGGTTAATGTTGAATCTCCAACTTTTTTGGA